ACCCTGACCCTTGCCTAGCTTACTGCTTTTTCTAGAACAATAAACCTGTTCAGCGAAGACAAGAAAAGCTGAATTGCTGAATTTCTAGATCATTCTGGAATAGTCAAACGAATTTCTTCGAAAACAAATTTCCGACTTTTCAATCAATATTCGAATTGCTCTTTTTTGAATTCATAGATCAATTTTGAAGCCTATGCTTTGTGAAATGCTTTGTGAAAGGGGTTGTGAAAGCTCCATCAAGGGCTTCTGTTCAAACATTTGCTTTGTGTGAAAAAAAATACTAAAATTAAAAGTTTTTCCCGTTTCTGTCTATTAAGAATATAATTTTGCAGAGAGTTTCAAAAAGAACTAATATCTGAAACATCTATCGTCTGATCTGCATCGAAAACATCGCGAAAACTTATTTTCGAATATTTACTAGAATAAGTATTTCAAGAGAGCTTTTTCATGACATCATATTTTTCACCTTAAGTGACGAGAGGTATTAGAAATGGAAACTCAAGGTAAATGGCTATCAAAATTAAATAATTTTAAATAAGTAGACAAAAGATTGATTTACCGATTGTTTAATGAGTCTAAGAAGTTTAAAAAGTACAAAAAAAAACTTTGCACATAGGAATGTATGTAGAAAGCACACAAACAAAGTCACCTTCAAGACAAAAATAGTTACCGTGAATACTGTAATAGTACCCCACCCCCATAATGACGGTGCGGAGTGTTGCGTAGTCTAGCTTTGAACGAGTTTTCCTCGACACGGGTTTATGCTACAATGCGCGCTTAGGTATCAAAAAATAGCTGAAATTCAGGGCTATTTTTTGATACCATTCAGGGCCCAGAAGTGGCTCATTCCTTTTGCAAATTCCCTTTGCTTCCAATGCCTCTTTATCAAATTCATTTCCCGTTAGAGCCGCTAGATTATGGAACTTGCTCCCAAACGACATACGAGAAATCCAGTCGCTTTTCATATTCAAGAAACGTATCGATGCTTTAGATCTAGTGGCTCTTTGCCGTAAGTAATTGGCTTATTGATTTCAGTATGTATTGTATGATAAAGTATCACTGTGCATTTCTCTATGATTTCTTTCACTTTATCGTTTGAATAAAGTATTATTATACCAAAGACGCATTTTTTGAAAGTACGGGCGCTTTGAAAAAAATGAAATACTAAAAAACTTTTGCGACTACGCGACGATGGGAGTGGGGCCCTATTACAGTATTTATGGTAAGTAAATACTAGCTTTAGTTAGTTACCCACTCTAGTTAACGATCAAGCTTGCTCAGCCAAGAAAAAATAGCTTAGAAAAGTTTCCATATCTTTTAAAGTAATAAGTTTGAGCCTGAGAATTGACTGTGTATTCCCAAAAAAGAGTCGACTTGAATTGAATGATTTACAAAATAACAAAAGCATTCATATTGCCGAATAGAAATTCAAATAACCATTCAGAGTTATTAAAAGAAATACAACAATGCAGGATTGGTTAACTTTGGTTATAACTTTGGTTATAACTTTGGTTATAACTTTGATTATAACTTTGGTTATAACTTTGGCTATAACTTAATAACTTTGGTTTCACTTTCCATCATCACTTAGCCAAAACTCATCGATTGCCACAAAAAACTAAAAAAAGAAAAACGAAAAGAAATGAGTGGTATATTGTCTAGAATTGCTCCGTCTTCTTCGTTTTCTTTTCTCATTCTTTTTCCCCTTTTTTTTATTCAATTCTCATCTACTCAAATGCTCGAGTTACGTCTTTTATTTCTTTTCGAAGCCAATGAGCCCTCCTCCAGTAATTCTTTCGATTTTTTGAGAGCCCACCAAAAAGTAACCTTTTTTTTGGAAAGCAAAGAACAGTCTACGCCAAAATGAAGAAGTTTTGGATAAAAATAAATGTAAAATCAGAAAATTGCAAGCTGGGGAAAACGCTAAAAGACTTCTAAAATGAAAACTGATGTAAGAGGCACCAGTTTAGACTAAAAGTTTCGACTAAAAGGCAAAAGATTCATAAAATGTTAAATCATAAACTTTCTAGACTTTCTAGACTTTAATAAAGTACTAACAAACAAGAAAAAGAAATTAATTTCCATTAAAGCCAAGATAGCGCTTTTATTTTGTATGAGAGCAGGAAAAAGCCCCTGTAAAGAAATTGATCTGTATGAATTCAAGAAATGAAAAGAATTGAGAAATTGAAAACGGTCAACAGTTTATCCTCGGCGTATTGCCGGAGGTTAATGGCTGGTTTAGATAATGGTGTACTTTAAATTATAACAGTAACTTACATGTGGACAGAAAATTGCAAGCTGGGGGAAACGCTAAAAGACTTCTAAAATGAAAAAAGGCTGGAAAGGTGTAAAAGGCTTATAAAGTTTAGACTAAAAGGTAAAAGATTCATAAAATATTAAATCATCATCCTTCTAGACTTTAAATAAAGTACTAAAAAACAAGAAAAAGAAATTGATTTCCATTAAAACCAAGATAGCGCTTTGATTTTGTATGCGAATAGGAAAAAAAGGCAAAACTTGCAAAAGTGAAGTTAATAGTTAATCAATTTTTTTTTCTTCACATGAAAACACCGGAAAAAAACCACAAACTCTTTGAATTTCTATGGAATCTTTTGAGCTGATCTTGGAGGGATTTTCCTCCTCAGAAAAGGCGGATAATCTCACTCCGCCGGGCCACTTACAATCACTTTTCTAGCCAGATTTCATGTTACACTACTCTTTTTTTCATCAATGGTTCAACTAAGGTGAAGATGTTAGATAAAAATGCATGAACAAGAAGATATTTTATCCAACAACAACAAGAACCCTAATTATTGTTAGATTTGTACTTTTGACTTATTTTCTTGAAAACTTGGAAGCACAAAGTATTCAGCTCAAAAGCACAAAGTATTCAGCTATGATAGGGAAATTTTGGAAGCATTTTCGGTACATTTAGAGTCTATCTAACTTATCTAAGGTCTAAAATCCAAATCCCGATCAAGTCAAGCCAAAAGCCAAGTCAAGCCAAAAGCCAAGTCAAGCCAAAAGCCAAGTCAAGCAAAAGCCAAGTCAAGCCAAAAGCCAAGTCAAGCCAAAAGCCAGTCAGAAAAGCCAAGCAAGCCAAAGCCAGTCAAGCCAAAAGCCAAGTCGCGCCGCAAGCCAAGCCAGTCAAGCCAAAAGCCAAGCGCCAAAAGCCAAGTCAAGCCAAAAGCCAAGTCAAGCCAAAAGCCAAGTCAAGCCAAAAGCCAAGTCAAGCCAAAAGCCAAGTCAAGCCAAAAGCCAAGTCAAGCCAAAAGCTAAGTCAAGCCAAAAACCAAGTCAAGTCTTGTCTTTTGTATCGTAAAACTACTTGAAATAAAAAAAATTTCAATTCAAGCTAGAGAAAAGTAGAGAACTCCAAGAATAGAACACAAAAAGCTCAGTAAAAATAGATCCATTCCCCCATCTCATTCATTCAATGAGGAGGTGTGTATGATCTCGAGCTGCACATTTCAATGGGGAAAGAGCAGGTGGACGAGGAGAGCTATGAATGAGATGGGAAATGGATGATCTCATGAGGTTTTGCGGAGATCAAAAAAAGCCCAGAAAACGAAACGACTCAAGCTTGCCCCGGTGAATTATCGCAAACACCTGAGATCCCACAGATTGGTCATTGTTCTCACCGCCGGGTGCTGCTCGAGAAAAGATTAGCCTTGATATTTTTAGAACTCCATTGCTTGGACAATTTATTGGGAAATCATTTGTCGTTTTATAAAGGATAAAGTTGAGAGTAGGGCAAAGCTTGCAAGTGGGCAAAAAAACGGGAAATGGAATATCTTTTCCATTAGAAATATTTAGCGTTCTAGATTAGAAAATCTAGAAATACTGACTCTTGGGAAAAACCTCCTTATCGAAGGTTTACTTTAAAAACACAAAACTCTAGGACTACGCAAAGCTACTAAGATACAAAAGAGCTTAATGTAGAGCATTGTTCAATTGAGGCAAGGTGATTTCAATGATATTTCTATAGTAAGCTAACAGAGCCAGTGATCTATAGGCAAAATTCCCAAAAAAAACCCCGTAGAGAACATCAAAAGCTATCGAGTTCGCAAAGTGACGCAGACAAAGCATCTCTATCAAAATCGAAATCGAGAAACTCTGGACAAAAATTTTCATCGAAGTCTAGCGCGAATGTTACACACACCCGAATCGGGATTGGTGTTGAAAAGGGGAATCAATCCCCACAATGCACAAAATGTAGAGAAAAGAGTGGAAGGTGAAAAGAGAAAGAAAAGATGCAGCGATCCCCCCGACACAAGGTGTATGCAAATTTCGGTGGAGTGAATAATACGGGAAACGAGAGACGCGAAATTGATACACAAAAGCCTGTCACTGAACTCGACGAGAGGGAAGCTGAGGATTACAACTGCGCAATAGCCGTTTGAAAGACGCAACTTGAACCTTTCAATCAAGACACCCGAAAGGTGTCAAAGATCAACCAAATGAGACTGAAATGATGGGCATTTTGGGATCTAAAAATTAATTTTTCCAAATAGGCTGCATGTATACGATTGTTTTTTTTGGTAAAATAAATGTAGAAATATTCAAATTTGAGCCAGCTTTAAAGTATGAAGCTTGAAATCGTTTCTTTTTTAGAGGAAGTTTTGAAAAGTAGACACATCCTTAAAAATTTGATCTAAAAATAGATTTTTCAGTTACGCGTCGACAGCCGACATCGCTTTTTATTTGTTTTTTTGATTAGTAATCGACAACGCTTTAAATCGAACTAGGTGACTATTCAAAACGTTGTTTTACGTCGTTGATTCAATACCAGCTCTGAATGCTTTATTTCGTTCTATTTTGGGTATAATTGTCACCCGATGGAAATTAACTTTAAATTCTGTCAAATGTTTGTTTTGCGAAAGTGTTTAGCTGTTAAGCAATTTTATTCTTACTACTCATTTCCCATAAAAATTTCAAAACGAAAAATAACTGTACATAATCAAAAAAAACTCACTACACTAAAAAAAATAAGTTCTCTAGTCTCTTTGCACACCGCTCGCATATTGAAGATCTTGAAGGAGATATGGTGCTGGGTATTCTTCGGATCTAAAAACAAAATGGTTAACTTCAAATCATTGTTTTGATTAACAGTTGATAAAAAAATAAAACCAACTTTCTCCAATAAGAAACAAGTGGATCGTTCGGCCGGTAGACATCGTAGTAGCCTCGATAATACGGTTTATCCCCAGCCTCGTTGTACCTAAACATATAATGTCATTTGATTATCCAAATCAAAATTGCCGACACATTTTTATGATTCTATTTGTAAGTTCAAGAATCTAAAGCTGTTTCTTTACTCTAACAAGTAATAGTTGGTTGTAAATTTCCTTCGTCAGAGTTTAATACGATAATCCAGCTCTGAATTCGCACGCGTAAGTCTAACGCTGGTACTTTGGTGGTTGGGAGTGACCACTTTTGGCTTGCTTTGTCGAATCTAGTGTTTTGAGCGGTTCGTGTCTATACTTTTCTTCTATTCTGAATAAAGAGATATATGCTGAAGCGATTGATGTTAACCTAAGCACGCTTTTGATAATCCTATTCGATGATTTGCCCTATGTCCTAGCCTGCTGTACTTTAACCACCGAACGTTATCTCAAAGCTGATTACACTTGGAAAGCTGCAATACTAACTTGAAACATGTTGCAAATACTCTAAAATTAGCACCAATCGCCTCAGCATATATAATTACCCCGGAATAGAAGAAAATATAAGAAAGTATCGACACGAACCGCTCAAAACACTAGATTCGACGAAGCCAAGTTAAAAGTGGCCCCTCCCAACCACCTAACACCCTAAAGCTACCACATTTTGAACGAAAAATAAGAAAATGCCAAGCAAGGCTAGAGCGGATTTAAAGGGAAAGTGGAAACGCATTTTCCGAAACTTTTTCACCCCGAGAATTTCATTTACAAAGTCATTGCTTGTATAAGAAAGAAACAAACCATTTAATTAACAAAAACTAACCATTTAATTTTGTAGATAGCGATGCCGATACTGAGAGGCATAGTCAAAGAGGCGACAATCGTTTGTTCCGGGTATTTCTTCATCTAAAACATTAAAAATTTGATAAGGAATCAAAAATATCGACTCACAAAATGATGGTAAAGATTTTTCCAATAGAGAGCCGCTCGGCCCACCCGTTCTGCCATACCTAAAAGCAAGAAATGCATAAAGATGGAAGAAAAGCAGCAAGGAAAGCAATTGACACTTAAAAACGTCAAAAGCTTTTTTAAATTTTGATCGAAAAGGTTTAAAAAGTTGGGGTAGGCTAGTTTCCGCAACTTTTTTTGCGCAACAGGGTCATTTGCGCAATAGGGTCGTTTGCGCAACTCACCATAACTTTCTTCTAAGTCGGTCAATCTTTATGCTTTTGGTGTTATTTTGTTGCACTTATTGAAATCTACAAAATAAAACCAAAAGCATAAAGATTGACCGACTTAGAAGAAAGTTATGGTGAGTTGCGCAAACGACCCATTGCGCAAATAACCCTGTTGCGCAAAAAAAGTCGCGGAAACTAGCCTTCCCCGAAAAGGTTTAAAAAGTTTAAAGCTAAGCTTTCTCGTTGACTTAATAGCTGCACACACAGAGCCATGAGGGAAAATGCTTTCGGCTACGATAACAAAAGCGCTATCCACGAAAAAAGAAAACGAAAAAGTAGGAATTTCAAATTATCCCGCAATCGCATTGATTGCCATTATCATTACACGAAATCTCTTTTTCTGCTCATCTTTGTCAAAATAACGAATCTTTCTTATTCAAAGAATCGATTTTTCTTCAATTTTCAATGACTGTTTCACTAACGAGTAGAGATTTCTTGAAAGCGGGAGCTTTGGTGGCTGGCGGAGTGGCGATTGGATATTTTGTGAGTTTCTCGAACTTTTTTCACTGATCAAGTTGTTAATCATTGAAAAATAGGCAATTTTCAAGTTGTACGAGAATTTTTAAAATGCGAAATTTGTCCTGTCTTCTTTTTGTTTCCTTTGCAAAGGTAAAAATAAACAGCTAAAAGCTAAAATAAACTAACAGCTAAAAGCTAAAATAAGCTAAAATAAACAAATAAACTTTAAAATTTAAGATTAACTTTTAAGCGTTACTTTTAAAAACTTGGTACTTTTCCAATATCAGGGGAGCGAAATGAAAATCGGGGGAGCAAATTTTGCCCCCACGAAAAATGCATTTCCAGGAGGACTGCAACGTTTTTTTTAAAACTTTAACGACGATGCGCTTCTCCGACATTTGTGCGCATTAAGGAATTAAGGAATCGACGGCAATCGATTATTTCGTCACCAAAGGAGTCATCCAGTCGTGGATTTGCAACTGTGGCGAATTGATGAAAGTCCGTTCAAAGGGAAAAGATCTATTTATTTTAATCGCTGGGTATTTTAAGTCACTTTCGTGATCTAATATAAAGGTTGTGAGAATAACGGGTAATTCGCGGATTTTATGGTGGTAATTTGTATAATATAGGACATATGTAGCGCTGGCAAAATTTGCTCCCCAGATTTTCATTTCGCTCCCCCGATAATCGGGCCGCTTCCCCGATATTAGAAAAGTACCAAAAACTTTTACTTACTTTTAAAAACCTTATTAAAGACTTAGGACAAAATTCTTTCCAGATCGGTACCACAATCAGCCGTCGTTTTCCTCGTTTAAACTACGAGATCAAATTGGAGTGTGATAAGGTAAGTTTTCTTGAAATTTGTACAATAGTACAGTAGTTAAAGTCCAAAAAAGTAACTAAATAAAAATTTTACAGGTCGTTGACGCTATTGACGTCAAGGACATCGAGCGGAAGAAGAACGGTCAATTGAGAACGTTCTGCCGGTGTTGGAAGTCGAAAAATGTTCGTACTCTTGAGCAAAATTGTAAATTGAGTGTAGATTTGATATAATTTCAACTATATATCAACTTTAACAAACTAAAGAAGCCAATTCCAGTGGCCCTACTGTGATGGAGCGCATAAAGCTCACAACAAAGAGACTGGTGACAATGTGGGACAGTTGAGGATTCTTGAGACTTCGCAAGAAGTGAAAATCTCTTGATTTCGTTTTCAAAAATGATATATTTATGATAGAATTTTATGCTTATTCCATGACCCATGCCTTGCACATTTTGTGGTAAAAGTTTCTTTTTGATTTTAACACATTTAAGCTCAAAAAGCATTACAAATAACAAGTCTGAAAGAGAAACACAAAAAGCCGCTACCGTAAAAGAAGTCGCTCTTTCACGCACCCCGTGAAGATCGTTGCGTGGTGTAGTGGATAATGGGTTAGAATAGGGAATAAAAAAAACTTAACTTTTGTTGCTTCGGATGAGAAACGATAAAAATGCAGAGAAATAACGTTAATAAAAAAGGAATAAAGTGCAGAAAGTTCAAAAAAATTTAAACATAAATTTTGAATTGGTTGCATTTTAGAATTCGACCCTTAAGCTATTGTGCGCGGGTTACGGTAGGTTACCCATTGCGATCTTAAAAACGATTTTTCTGACCTCAAAATCAACGGATTTTGATGTTTTTGGTCTTAAAACTAGCCGCTAACGAATCATTCGTAAACAGCTAACCGCTAACGAATCATTCGTAAACAACTAGCCGCTAACGAATCATTCATAAACAACTAGCCGCTAACGAATCATTCATAAACAACTAGCCGCTAACGAATCATTCATAAACAACTAGCCGCTAACGAATCATTCATAAACAACTAGCCGCTAACGAATCATTCATAAACAACTAGCCGCTAACGAATCATTCGTAAACAGCTAACCGCTAACGAATCATTCATAAACAACTAGCCGCTAACGAATCATTCGTAAACGGCTAACTGTCAACGAATCATTCGTAAACAACTGAATTTCGTAAACGGCTACGACATATATATATATATACATATATATATATGTGGTCATTTGTGAAGTCACGCCTCAAGGGAAAGAAATTCGATTCGAAGGCCGCCTTATGGGTTCACATTCAACGTCTTTGGGCCACCATCCGCCCAAGTCTTTTGAAAAATCTCGTGGATTCCATGCCGGAACGACTCAATGAAGCGATAAAAGCAAAAGGAGGACCAACCAAATATTAATTTTTTGAAAAAAATTGTTAATTCTTTGCAAATGGGACATTACTTTTGTGGAGCTATTTGTTAAGTAACTTATTGTTTTTGTTTTATACTTTAATTTTTCTGCAATGTATACGGATAAATCTTATAATCCTGAAAAGTAGAGTATTATGGGTAAGCAAAATAGCCTACACTTTTTGGGAATATCGTTATTTTGCAAGATTTTCGTACGAAAGAAACTTTTGGATGGCAATGGGACAATACATTTGTGGACCACTGTATATAAGTAAGTAACAATAAATATTAGATTCAATCTATCTTTGATTTCTATTTGGTACTAAGTTGCCAAATAAAAAATTCTATTTTACAGTAGAGATAAACTGTACTTTAAAGAACAAAGAAATACTTGTTTAAAAAAAAAAAAAATACCGACTGGGGCTACCAGTGGTGAATTTATCGCATACACGAAATATATCAATCACAATACAACGACACACACAATACTAGGCTATATCTTAACTTAACCCACGTCATGACAGACGGCTCCCTAACCCTAAGCTCAATGGGGAACTAAATAGCTTTTTTGGTGGTGAAGGGAAGATGACGATGAAGGAGTGGCTTGTCACTTTAAAGAACTGGGGCCACAACCACCAGACTGCCCTCCAGAAAACCTCTCAACCCGAAGGGAAAGGAAATCCGAAGGGGGTGACCATGTCGCATGTGGGGTTCGAACCCTCTAACCTTTTATAAAACATTTTCATCAAAAAAATCCCCTCCAAATGACTTCTTACTGCGTTTGTTTGTGCATGTTTTTATCATTATCAAATTTTATCTAGATTTTTCTCGACAATATCTCTCACCTTTTTATGAGATCAATTGATAAACATAGATAAAAAGTCTTTCAAATCTTTCTCTCAAATCTCACAAATTTCCCTGCTATTTAATCAAAATAATCTTTTTTTTTTCTGTGATCGACCTTTTTAATTGATGGGTAATGAAAGATGATGTGAAGAAAAGGGGAAAATAGGGAATTGTGATGCCATGAGCAAAATTTGTGGGGAATTTCTCGTTTTTAGATATTTTCGATAGCCAAAAGAAAGATCTGTCCTTTTGCGATAAGCGCTTTACATAAACTAGGTCAACATTGAGCAATCTTTAAAAGGATATTGAGCTGTATTGAGCAATCTTTAAAAGTCTTCTCTTGTTTAGTTAGTTTTATACTTTACTAGTTTTACTTTTACTAGTTTTACTTTTATTAGTTTTATATTTTACTAGTTTTACTAGCTTTACTTTTACTAGTTTTACTTTTTCCCGTCAGTCTAACTAAGCCATGTTAAAATCGTTTTTCAACTTTTGAATTGCATTTTTTAATATTTAACATGGCTTTTTAGATAATAATGATGTTTTTTTTTAATCTAGTAATAAAGATTTATCTATTATAGTTACCGTAAATACTGTAATAGTACCCCACCCCCATAATGACGGTGCGGAGTGTTGCGTAGTCTAGCTTTGAACGAGTTTTCCTAGACACGGGTTTATGCTACAATGCGCGCTTAGGTATCAAAAAATAGCTGAAATTCAGGGCTATTTTTTGATACCTAAGCGCGCATTGTGGCATAAACCAGTGTCGAGAAAAACGCGTTTAAAGCTAGACTACGCAACACTCCGCGCCGTCATTATCTTTGGTATTAAAAAATAGCCCTGAATTTCAGCTATTTTTTGATACCAAAGACGCATTTTTTGAAAGTACGGGCGCTTTGAAAAAAATGAAATACTAAAAAACTTTTGCGACTACGCGACTGTACGATGGGAGTGGGATACTATTACAGTAATAATAATAATAACAATAATACTTTTTTATCTAGTGCCCCAGGATTTATTGAACCAGTTCCCAATTTCTAGAGTCAGCTTGTGCTGCTTCTACTCTAGTTCCAGATCTAGGCTCATTACCAGACAAAGGTGAAATCTTTCAAACTCCATTTACAAGAAAGTTTATTTAATTTTTAGTTTTACAGCAATTTTCATTTTAATATCATTTTTATTATCATTTTTCTGTATGTCGATTGTTTAGATAAAAAGAACGAGTCGTTTAACGAGCTCGTTTATCTCGTTTATCTCGTTTAATCCTTTCGTGTCCATTATCTGACATCAAGATCTTTGTGTTACTTATTTTTAAAACCCTTTTTAAATCAATTTCCTTTTAAATTGTAATTTCAGAACAAAAGAAAACTATAAAACTATAAAAGAACTAAATAGGAACTAAATAGGAACTAAATAGGAACTATAAAGTAGCCAAATAGGAACTAAATAGGAACTATAAAGGAACTAAATAGGACCTAAACAGGAACTAAATAGGAACTATAAAGGAACTAAAAAGGAACTATAAAGTATCTCGTTTATCTCGTTTAATCCTTTCGTGTCCATTATCTGACATCAAGATCTTTGTGTTACCTATTTTTAAACCTTTTTAAAACCCTTTTTAAATCAATTTCTTTTTAAATGATAATTTCAGATCAAAAGAATGACGTTCACCAACTTTTTCTCATTGATGCTTCAGAACCGAACCTCATCCAGAGCAAAGCAGCCAGCCAAGATCTCGCAAAGGCAATCTTCACAAGAGTCAACAGGTGAAAATTTCAAAACTAAAATACCGTGAACTTTAAAAGTAAAGGAGTTGATCAATTTCTGAAACGTTTTTCTGATGTAAAGAGCTTAAAATGAAGTTTGCAGAAGGGAACTCCTCCCGTGCCTCGACAGATTCCCAAGAAAGCTCTATTCAATCAAGTAATCAACCGAAAAAATGAAAGATTTACAAATTTGTTTATAAATTTATATATTTATATATACAATAATTGTATCCACATTGATTCTAAAGCATTTATATAGCTATAAAACAAAATTTTCAAACCGAAACACAACTAAATTCCAACCAAAAGCTGCAAGTATTCGAAAATTCTTTAAGAATTCTATTTTGTAGAATTTTGTAGAATTTTGTAGCTAATTTTTACAAAAAGATCAAATCAAATCCTTTATTTCTTCACTATGTACAGTAAAAATCGTCATTTCTTTTTAAATTGATCCCCGAGGATGATGTCTTCTGCGGTTAGCAGCACGACGACGTCCGTGGAATTTTCTGAAACTTTGATTTTTCTTTTTAATGATTTTTTATGATTAATTTTTAATATGATTAATTCCTACTAATACTAATAATTAATTGAATATCTTTAACATCTTTTTAAGTACTTTTTATTTAAAATCATAATCCCTTTCTCACCTGATCGTGCGTCTGCGAAGTTTGCGAAGCTTTCGGCGAAGTCCTTGCCGTTGACGGCGAAGTTGCTAAAGTTTAAAGTTATGGAAAAGTTATCGTATAGATTTCTATCGATTTCTATAGACTTCTATAGATTTCTATAGACTTCTATAGACTTCTATAGACTTCTATAGATTTCTATAGCCTTTATAGACTTATGCACTACAGTAGTCCTGTAGATTTCTATAGATTTATGCACTAAAGTACCCTGTTGCGACGTTGACGATTACGGCGGCGTCGAGCTCGGAGTGATCGCTTCACTCGAACGACTTTTCTCTAAACAAAGGTTTATTTTCTATTACAGTAATACAGATTTTACAGTAATCCTTAAGCTCTTTTACAGTAATCCCAAAACTCTACAATTCTTCTAGGTGATTCGAGCCAAACTCGACTGGATCAACTCTACAGTAATCCAGTAGAAAACAGTACTACACTTCTCACTTTACAGTAATACTATTCACAGAATATTTTACAATAATCCCTAAGCTACTCGACAGTACTCAATACAATATAGTAATTAGAAAACTGCTTTTTAAAAAACCATTGAAAGCTTTGTTACCTCAGCATCACCGGTTTCTTCCTCAGAAGAGGCATCAGTGGCCGTGATCTCCTGATTGTTCGTCTAAAAACTTTTGCTTTAAAAATTGAATAATATTTAAAACTCATAACAGAATATATATGAATATCTATGTTAACTGAAAATGTGCTAATTGAATATTTGTTAACCTTAATCTCGGCCTCGATCGCTTCCAACTCAGCGTTGTCGTGCTCCTCGGCGTCTTTCTCCAACAAGTCCTCCACCTAGAAATTCGTGGGTTTAGCTTTAAATTTCTAAATCTAAATCTAAATTTCACATAGAATTGTAGGATTAGTCTATCGATTAAATAAACTTACATCAATTCTCTCATCTTCATTCAATCCTTTCAACAATTCGTACTCTTTTCCCTTCAACTCGCGGAGAGCGGTCAAAGTTTTTTGAGCATTCTCCGTCAAGTCCTGAAAGTTCATTATTAGAAAACGATTTGAAGATTTCGATTTGAAGGTTCCGAAATGGATTTGTTTCCTAAAAACTACCGTAATCTTGATTAAAATTGAATTTCTGGGTACTCCTAGGTACTAGGTAGGTACTAGGTTCTAGGTAGTAACAAATCCAGGATAACAAACCTCAGCAGGTACTCCTAGGTACTAGGTTCTAGGTAGTAACAAATCCAGGATAACAAACCTCAGCAGGTAATCCTAGGTACTAGGTTCTAGGTAGTAACAAATCCAGGACACAAACCTCAGTAGGTACTTCTAGGTACTAGGTTCTAGGTAGTAACAAATCCAAGACACAAACCTCAGTAGGTACTCCTAGGTACTAGGTTCTAGATAGTAACAAATCCAGGACACAAACCTCAGCAAGGACGCTCGCCAGCAGAAGACAACCGAGTGCGATGAGGTGGCGCATCGTTTTGTTTCCAATGCAACACAAGAGTTCGTCCCTCAAATACCTTTATATGGAGAAAAATGGGAGGGATTTCCGTCGACAATAAATAAAGAGAAAGAGATGGCATTGCCTGGAGAGCTTTTTGTGGAGAAGAGACTGGTGGCAATGAAGTGAGCTCTTTCACAATCGATCTTCACAAAAAAAAAGACTAAACCACCATGATTTTCTTCTTCTTTTTGTGGCTAAATACAGCTTTTGGAGAGAACGAGTCCGCTAAAATGGCAATAAAACGACGGGATTTTGGTGTTTTCTTAGCTTTAGCAAGAGCAAGCTTTAGTTGTTCTTGACAAGAGAAATAGTAGAGAGTTTTGAAATGATAAAGCCAGCGGTATACTTAAAATTTGCAGAGAAATTTAAAGTATTTGTGAATCCAGATTTCACTGGCAGATTCTTTTTTAGATTTCTGGAAAGATCAAAGAAAAACTTTAACATTGACATTGTTGACAGTGGGAGTTATTCCAAAGCCAGCTTTTCCCGATCAAGCAGTCAACTAGTAAGCTAGAATCCGAGCAGAAACCTAGAAATTCGTGGGTTTAGGGTTTAGCTTTAGAAGTCTAAATTTCGCATAGAATTGTAGGATTAGTCTATCGATTAAATAAACTTAGATAGGCCCTAGGATCCGGTTGGAAGATCTTCTTTGAAAACAGAATTATCATCAAGGATACTTGAGAATTTATAATACATAAATTTAGTCGGTTAGTTTGATCTCCTTCTTTTCCTAGGCATCTTATTTTCTTATAACATTGTTATTGTTTTTTAGGAATTCACGTAGAGTCAAACCACGTTAGAACACATCGATAGTGAACGGTTTTTTTTATGATTCCTCTGAATTGACTTAGTACTAAGCAAAACTTGATAGTGAACGGTTTTTTAGGATTCCTCTGAATTGATTTGGTACTAAGCAAAACTTGATAGTGAACGGTTTTCTATGATCCTTTCCATAGTTCACTAACAAGATTCGGTTGTACATTGATTTGAAGATAGTGCTTAAATTCAGATTTATCATTCATTCATTTAACAAATTTGAATTTAAATGATTGAATGATAAATTTGAATTTGAATAGAATCAATTTATTCTTCAGTCTCTACAATTTTTCTCTTTTTGTGTTCGATACTGTGTGTCATTTTGTCATCTAAACATGTTCAGTTGTCACTTTTTTATGCTTACATGAATAAAGTATTGATATATATATATATAGACTTTGCGTGCAAAACTATAAAACGTTGAAAGGTGACTTTTTTCTTATCGCCATCATTCCCATTTCTACAATCATTTGTTTTCCAAAAACCCCTTCAGCATTAAACAAAGCATTTTCATCGTTTAAATGAGAGAAGTTGAAGTTGAAGTTTGAATTTAAATGTTTAAATGAGAGAAGTTGAAGTTGAAGTTTGAATTTGAGAAGTTTGTGCTGAAGTTGAAGCTGAAGTTGAAGAAATCCTTGAAGAGAGAAGAGGAGAGAAGTTTGAAAATAGTCTGAAAATAGAATCTACTAATTCTAAGTGCTTAATCACAAAGAGATAATCACTTAATGCGTTCGCTTTTTCCCTGATGCCATTTGTGATTGTCAGTTTTTTTATTTCCTTTCTCTCAAAATACGGGTTTCTCTTCTCCTCTTCCCCCATTTCTTTCAAGGAATATAAAATCCGATCCCAGAAAAAGCAAAAGCACAATAACATAAAGAATTGGATAAGTGAATGCATGAAATAGGGTAAAAAGAAAAATCGATGAGAATTGGAAATCAAAAATTGGATTTGAGTTGGGTCAATGAAATCGAGAAAAATCGATGAGAATTGGATACAAAGGGTGAAGTTGGAAATATGCTTTGAGCTCTGTGAGAGAATCAATTCAATAACCACAACAATTCGATTCAAACAATTTTTTTTTACAGGGATTTGGGTTCTACTTTTTGAACACACAGCTTTTGGGCTAGTTGAACTTACGAAAGCTACGGTATTTATGTAGCGTTTAAGACTAGACTTGTGTTTCGGTTGGCTCTTTTCGGTTCGGTTTCGGTTCAACCGAAGTCAACCGAAATCTTTCGGTTCAGTTCGGTTGAACGGAAAAGATGAGTCTTTCGGTTCGGTTCGGTTCCGTTCGGTTAACCGAAAAGATGAGTCTTTCGGCTCGGTTCGGTTCGGTTGAACGGAAAAGATGAGTCTTTCGGTTCGGTTCGGTTTCGGTTCAACCGAAAAGATGAGTCTTTCGGTTCAATCGAAACCGAACCGACGTTTCAGAAGACCACTAAATTTATTAGGAACAAAAATTCTAAATAGATCCGGGTCAGAGTCGACCTTTTAGATCGTTTGACTCGCTGAAAGTCTAGTCTTATCTTTTGTCATCAATATTGAAATGGTTTAGTTCAGTTATTGTTTTTCTGTGTTCGGTTCGGTTTCGGTTAAACCGAAAAGATGAGTCTTTTGGTTCGGTTCGGTTTCGGTTGAACCGAAAAGATAAGTCGGAAAAGATGCTTTCGTTTTCGGTTCGATCAACCGAAACCAAAAGCGAAACCGAACCGAAAAAGAACGTTTCCAGTTCAACCGAAACACAAGTCTATCTAAGAATCTTTTTAAGTCTTAAGCTTTTTAAGTTTTCAACTAGGTAGGTTGTTTTCTGATTCTGATTCTGAAGAATCAAATTCAAAGCCAGATTCTCTGAAAAATATTCGTCTGCAAATGTTTTTAAAAATGAAATCTGAAATTGTTGATTATCACAATGTTCGCCAGACTTATTCAAAGCATTTCTGCGGTGAATGCGGCAGCAAAAGGGAATATCCAATTTCACACAAAATTTTCATTGTAAAGGCTCTGATTCTGAGAATTAGCAAGTTCGCAAGTTCTGAACATTCATTTACGATCTTTTTCTAAAAACATAAAGTACAACTGTACAACGTACAACTGTACAACGTAAAACTGTACAACGTACAACTGTACAACTTACAACTGTACAACGTACAACTGTACAACTTACAACTGTACAACTTACAACTGTACAACTTACAACTGTACAACCACAACTGTTGCACCAATAAAATTGTTGATAAGGTTATGCATCAACCTGAATAGCTAAGGTGTTTTTAAAAGAGAATTTAAAAATTCAAACCTGTCACAACTTTTTATCTTTGACTCTTTGAGAAACTTTTGTTACACAGATCAAAATTAATTCTTTTCACTTTTTACTTTACACTTTTACTTTCTCCTTCAAAAGGTTTCTAATGAATGGAGAAAATTTCCGGAGAAAATTCAGCTTACGATTGTGATTGTTTGAGGTTTCACACTTTCACACTTCAAGTTTCACACTTCAAAACAGTCACAATCAACGAAGCTGAATTTTCTCCATTCATTAGAAACCTTTTGAAGGAGAAAGTAAAAGTGTAAAGTAAACAAGGTGAAAAGAATGAATTTTGATTTGTTTAACAAAAGTTTCTCAAAGAGTCAAAGATAAAAAGTTGTGACAGGTTTGAATTTTTAAATTCTCTTTTAAAAACGAATTTAAAAACACCTTAGCTATTCAGGTTGATGCATAGCCTTATCGACAATTTTATTGGTGCAACAGTCCTTTGAAGGAGAAAACTTCATAGAATGAGTTCATTTTTTCAAATTTCAAATAAATTTAATTCGAAATCAAAGAGTTCAAATTTATGTACCAAAAATTGTGTTTTTGTTTTTCGATCATTTCAAGAATTTAGTGAGAAAAATGCCCTTCACAGTGTACAACTGTGTCTCATTATCATTAATAGACAACTTTATCATCCAAGACGAATTTATGGTCTAAAAAGTGAACCAGTCTTGTAAAGTGCAGAACACCATAGAAATGAGCTATCGAACCAATTACTTCCAGGTTTTATTGCTGATTATTGGGATGTTGTACAAGTTTTGTTAATCATTTTGTTCCTATCGGGTAAGAAAGCAATGAGTTTGAATATGTTTTTGTCTACTGTGTCTACAAAAAGTGCCAAAATTATTTGATTTGTCAGATTCCAGAGTTCATTCTGGCATCGACAAATAAATGGCAACTGAGACAAAAGACTGGAAAATACCAAAAAGCGCGGCTGCCATTTGGAACTCTTTGTCTAGCTGGGCCGTCTCACACTGTGTTAGTGCTATTTTTGGGCTTAGGCTTGATTCAAGTATCTTCAAAATATGAAAAAGCATTTATTTACAAAAACCCATTTACACCATTTACAGAAAATCAGTCATTTGTTCACTTATTTTGCAACACCAGTGCAGTATCCACACGTTTTCGGGCAATACGACTTCTTGTACTGCTCGGTGTAGAACGAGGAGGCACAGATGCCATTCGTGTTCCACGAGGCACAACTGCAAATGAGAATTGGATATTAGAAAGAAACCAGATAGAAGCCAGAAACTAAGATCAAATCAAAAGATATTAAGGTTTGACTTGGTCCAGGTTGACTCACTTGATCGAGGTGTCCTTGCACTAAAAGTTAACTTTTATAAGAGAATAGAATGCGCGAAACCTCAAAGCACTGATCGGTCCCGTCCAGGTTGAAGCACACTCCACCACTCGGGCAGCCAAGGCCAAGGTCGGCTGGAAATGCAAATATGATAGATAAAGGCTTTTTAGGCTAGACTAGCTTATCTAGCTGGCTATCAAGATATTGTAGATTCTTTAGCTAACTCACGTCCAGTTGATCCGTTCTTGAGCGATGACTTGAGCACATTTGGAGCCATGATGGTGCAAGTGGTTGAGATCTGAATGTGATCGGGAGTTATCGGGAGATAGAGAGTTCTAGTTTGGCCTCTAAAGCTTTGTTTTGGCCTACCTGTTGAACGAAGACGACGGCGACGGCACAAACGAGGACGATGCTGGATTGCATGATTGTTGATTGAGGATTGGAAGGGATGAGAGTGAGATGTGTTGATGCCATCCACCCTTCCGGTCGCCATTAAATAGCACCCGATCTCCCAAAAATAGCACTAACACAGTGTGAGACGGCCCAGCTAGACAAAGAGTTCCAAATGGCAGCCGCGCTTTTTGAAATTTTCCAGTCTTTTGTCTCAGTTGCCATTTATTTGTCGATCCTTCTGCCAGAATGAACTCTGGAATCTCAAAAACTTTATCGTAAATCCCGCTCACATCTAAATAAACAAATTTTTCGGGTTCAATTTAGCAATAAATCTAGAACTTCTTGAATTTCAGTTACCAGTTGGGCAAATGAGTTGAGATCGAAGAGGATTTGCAATCTATTTTTAGCTAAAGCACGAAGAATCAATTCAAGAATTGGCAAACCTTTGAGTTACCAGGTTTTTTTGTTTATTATCCAAATGGTTTACCATTTGTGTAAAGAATTTATAAATACCCTATTGCAATAGAAAAGTGCTCAACTTTGAGTTGAGATCAACAATGATAAGAAATGTTTTCTGTTGATTATCGTGGTGTCAAAAATGGTTTTGTCTCAGGAAATAGAAGAAATAGAAAAAATAGAAGAAATAAGAAATAAAGAAGAATAGAAGAAAGAAGAAAATAGAAGAAATAGAAGAAATAAAGACTTGATAGAAGAAATAAAATGATATTTTTAGAAAGAAAATTTCAAAAGGGTGGACAAGACAAGGCGAAAGCAATGGAATTCTTGAAAATCGCTTTCAAGTACACCCGGCTAATTTGCTTTTGGACTATTTCGCTGCTCGGCGACAGACGATTGGCAAATCGACGATCCCCTACGTGACACCGACTCTCGTTTCGGCCAAATCGTGCTTTTGTGCAAAGGGCACTTGCCGATAAGGATTATCCTTGTTGAAAATGATTGTGTTTTCTTTTTTCTTCTCTTCTACTTTCAATGAATATAATTTTTCTATTCTAAAAGAACTGTGAATGTAGACATGTAATGTTTAGCCTTTAAATGAACATCTCAATGTTGAGTGAACAAAGGACAAAGGACAAAGTTGAAACACAGATGTTTTTGATCGTGCTTGTGATGACAATTTGTAAATGTTGTAAAATTTTCAAATTCAAAATTCAGTAAACTTTTTATGATTCATCAATCATAAAAAGATTCATCAATCATCAATCATAACAATCTTCAGTTGGTTCTTTATCAAGCGGCGATTCGGGAAGGGGTCTAACTCGAAAGAGTTGCTAAAAAGAAAAAAAAAATTTAGAAATTAGATTGTAAATGCAATTAGATTGTAACTTCTTGACTTACTGTAACATCTACCATTTAACTAATCATCTACTATTTAACTAAATCATGGCAAATCAATTTTTCTATCTATATTTATCGTTTAAAAAACCAAACCTGTACAGGTGGTTCTTGAAAGTCCTCGAAATCGGTGGCCAACTCGGCGACCGGCTGCACATTGTATTCGATTTGTGAGGTGAAAACGGGTTGAGATGAGGCTGGGAAAAGGTTTTGTAAAGAATTGATTGATTTTTTTTTGGTTTATTGATGATTAAATTGGTTAACTGAATGGTGAGAACTCTAGAAAAAAACAAAGTTCAAAGCATATCGATCCCTCAACGAAAAGTTCAACAAAATAAAGCTGTTCAAGTGGGGTGTTCTTCAAATAATGTTTAATAGATTATAGATTATAATTGTATGAAGATTTTGCATGAATTGGTGCTGAACTGAAGGAAAAAGCTGACATCTTTCAATTCTGAAAACTTCAACTCACTGGCTGAAGTGAGGCTTCCTCTCGGCGTCGGCACATCCACCGGGAACTCATTTGGTGGAGGGGTTGGCGAGGAAATAGCTGAAAATTCTTGCTCAAGTTGAAATTTCTCATCAATAGCTTTATTTCTAGGGATAAACTAGGGATTCTATTTATATTTGAAGTTTGAAACTTACGGGGAGCCGATGGACTCGTCATTGACGGTGCCGAGGGTTCTGTGTTCTCCTTTTGAACCACTTTATCTGTTGATGTTGAGTCTAAAATACTAATAAAAGCTTGATAGTTGAATAATTTAAAAGTACAATAATTCCATGGTTAACTCAAAAAAAGCATTTAGAATCGTGAGAAATATATTTGAGACTTGGTGACTGAATTATTTTGCGCAACTAGGTCGCAACTAGGCAACTAGGTCAACTAGAACTAAACTATATGGCTATATGTTGAAAGTACTCGTCTCTAATGCTCTTATCCTGAGGGGTTGGCTAATTTCCGCAATAGGGTCATTTGCGCAACTGGGTCGCTTGCGCAACTCGCCATAACTTTCTTCTAAGTCGGCCAATCTTTATGATTTTGGTGTCATTTTGTAGATCTCAATAAGTGCAACAAAATGAAATCGAAATCATAAAGATTGGCCGACTTAGAAGAAAGTTATGGCGAGTTGCGCAAAAGGCCTAGTGGCGCAAAAGGCCTAGTTGCCCAAAAGATTTGGCGCAAAGTAGCCTATCCCGCCAAAACTCCATGGTTACTCGCTTTATATACTCTATATTCGAATACTGCTTTTCTTTAAATTTAATAAACTTACCGTGTACTTTTCGAATTTTCCCATTTTGATTTTGCTCTTTCTGTTGTTGCACATCGTAGGACGACGATTTGTTGCCCATATTTTTTCGATTTTTCAACAAAGTACAGGAATAAGTATTGAAAAGCTAAAAACAAATCATAATTTTTGATTCTAGTAAGGGGAAAAAAGTAAAAAATTGCTTAAAAACAAAGAAAAGAACATTTACTTTGATGAGACAACATTGATGTAAGGTAAAAAAAAGTAAAAAAGTAAAAAAGTTTCGAGTAAAAAAAAGTTTTAAAAGGTCCTTTAAAGCTCATTTAAAGCTCCTTTATAGTTCCTTTAAAGCTGCTTTAAAGCCCCTTTAAAGCTGCTTTCAGCTCATTTAAAGCTCCTTTATAGTTCCTTTAAAGCTCCTTTAAAGCTCCTTTATAGTTCCTTTAAAGCTCCTTTAAAGCCCCTTTAAAGCTGCTTTCAGCTCATTTAAAGCTCCTTTATAGTTCCTTTAAAGCTCCTTTAAAGCTCCTTTATAGTTCCTTTAAAGCTCCTTTAAAGCTCCTTTATAGTTCCTTTAAAGCTCCTTTAAAGCCCCTTTAAAGCTGCTTTCAGCTCATTTAAAGCTCCTTTATAGTTCCTTTAAAGCTCCTTTAAAGCCCCTTTAAAGCTGCTTTCAGCTCATTTAAAGCTCCTTTATAGTTCCTTTAAAGCTCCTTTAAAGCTCCTTTATAGTTCCTTTAAAGCTCCTTTAAAGCTCCTTTATAGTTCCTTTAAAGCTCCTTTAAAGCCCCTTTAAAGCTGCTTTCAGCTCATTTAAAGCTCCTTTATAGTTCCTTTAAACCTCCTTTAAAGCCCCTTTATTGTTACTAATTTCATGGTAATTCTAGAGTAATCTGCAAAAAAGAAAAGAAAAAGAAAAAAGCATTTAGAATTGATAGTTTCGTAAGGCAAGAGAATTTGTAATTTTAAAAATCGAATTCAAAAATATTTGCACATGGAAAATCTATCAAACAAATTTTTAAGCCAAAAATTCGGAAATCGTAAAACGTTTTCCATTGTGAATCATTTTTGAAAGTAGATACTGTAGATGAAGGAATATGAAAAAGATATTCAGCTAAGGAAACGAATACCCAAACATGGAAAGGAAAGGGGGAATTGTTGATTCAAAGGGTGGTGATTCAACGGGGGGAGGGGGAAAGGGGTGACAACCTCTTCAAGACTGACTATGACCCACTCACCACTCAATCATTGATGAGATTTGTGATAAACATGAGGTATTCCAAAAGCTAGATATTATCAATAACTTTCTAGAGTTGAGTTCGTTGCAAATTGGAAATCCTGTAGCTTTCTGTTGACCTTTAGCTTTAACTCAGCTGAGAGAGCTCTTTAAAGAAATCCTCTATAGATATTTCATATCAGAGAGCTCTTTAAAGAAATCCTCTATAGATATTTCATTTCAAAAGGGATGACAACCCGTTCAAGACTGACTATGAGCCACACCACTCAATCATTGATGAGATTTATGATATTTCAAAAGCTAGATATTATCAAAATATTATATCAGAATGATTTTAGATTTTCTAAAGCTTCGTTTGGTTTTGAAATCGAAAAATTCTGCAGAAATTGCTCTTTCTCTTTGCTCTTTGCTTAACTTTGCTTAACTTTCAAAGCCTACTTTTATTTGTAGTTGTTCTGAGCTTAGACTTAAACCAGAAAAATGGGCTCCGAAATCACCTCCAAACTCTTTCCGAACATTGACAACCACTCTAAAGCATTTCCCAGATCCGGTAAACCGGCTTAGTCCTTCATGCTTCGATCTTTATCTCTATAGATATTTGATATCTTTCCGACTATGATAGAAACTTCTTGACTTACTGTAACATCTACTATTTGACTAATCATCTACCATTTAACTAATCATTTACTATTTAACTAATCATCTACTATTTAATTTAAAGTTTACAGTAATTGAGTCACGTGTTAACAAATGAATTCTTTTAAATATCCCTGCTTGATATTTAATTACAATATGTTTCGCTAAACAAGTGTCCTTTCAAAACTTTCGAAATCAAATCTACCAGAATACAATTATACAAGCTATAATAATACAAGTTAACTGGCAAAACATATAGATTTCTAAAAAAATCTAGAGAAAACTTTCACACAAAGAGCTGAAGAAGAAAAGGGACAAAAAAAGGTACAAAAAAAAGCGGTTTATATTGATGAAAAAGCAGGTCAGACTACGGTAACTTATCCACAGTTTAATTGCATAGTTTTTCTTGTTGTTGTCACAATATGTGAGATAACCAAAAAAACAAACATTCGAATATTATCAGAAACTCTTTGCATAGATAAGGAAACAATTCTTTTAGTGAAAATTTTTCTAATAATGCTCTAATAATAATAATCATTTCTTTTCTAATAATCATTCCTTTTCTAATAATCTGCTTTCTCTAAATCCTCTAGAGCTTTTTTCGTAAATCGTGTGACTAAAGTTTGGAATGCCCTTCCCAACAAGTTGCGTTTGATCTCCACCTGATTGTGTCTGATTTTAAGAGGGCTATTTCGTTGCATTTTAAGTGACTTTGTCATCTTTTATCTAGTACATTTTTCATGTCGTTTTCGCACTTTATTTCTTTCTGAATAAAGTATTTATATATAAATATTAATATAATATTAATATAATTTATTTTGATTTGGTCTTATGCTATAAAATCATCTTCTCTCCTAACTCTCATCCGGAACTTAAAGGACTCTTTAAGATTTCGAATCACGCCAGAAGAACTCGTAGTCACAACTTTCAGATTACCCCCTTTCAAAGCTTTCATAACCGCCAACTGTATCATTCTTTTCTTTTGCTTGTCGTGTTCCTCGTATTTGGAATAAGTTACCTTGTGATATTTTTTCGTCTCTGAACTATTTTAAATCCTCAATATATAAGCTCGATCTTGTAGCTCTGTCAATTTTAAATTAGTTTTTAATGTCATATATACACGTGTCTAATTGTAGTTGTGTTTGTATATCAATTATCTTTCTTCGTCTACGCTGTTCAATCTGTTTGCATTGTCACTTTTCCTTGTCGGATAAAGTATATATATTTATATATAATAATTCCTTTTCTGATAGTAACTTCTCTTCTAATAATCATTTCTTTTTTAATAATGATTCCTTTTCTATTTTCTTTTCCTTTCTATTTCTTTTCTAATTATTCACTCTTTCCCACGTTTAAGCTCATGATTCATAAGTGAATTATAAATATTTTCTTTCAAAAAAGAAATCGCTCACCGTAAAAGCAAACAAATCGTTAGGAAAACTGACAAAGTGTTTGGAAAAAAGATTAACTGATGAAAAGAGTTCAGTACAATACAAAAATTGGTTTGCGGTTTATTTTGAAAGCCAATGATTCACCAATAAAGAGTTTCTTAAAATTTCAGTTCTCAAGAATAGGCATAGACATAAGAATTAAGAAATTACTTAAAAATTTTCCTTTTTTTCACTCTTTATTACAATAATTTTCACATTAAAATGCTTTTTAAGTCCTTTTTTTGAAAACTATCGTAATATTATCACCAATTTTATTCAATCGATTTCTTTTTCGATATATTAGGTTAGTGAATTGAAAACTGCCGGACTTTGAACTAAAATTTATTCAACATAAAACTAATAATTCAGTAATTTCCATTATTATTGACGACTTCTGCCCATTTTACAGGCAATTTGCGGATTCCTCTTTCGTAGTAGCATTTTGGTTTGTGTGTGAGACAAGTGTGAGACTCAAAAATCGAGGACTGGAGGCTGAAGACAAAAATGGAGGACCCAGTTTGAGCACTTTCTTCAAAAGAAACCCATTTTGGTGTCAATAGAAAAGTTGTAGAGAATCAAAAATTAGGATTATATCCAAATTTTCAAAAAGATACACTTAGTAGTTTCGCTTAAAATGCAAGTTTTGTGAAAATTCGTAAATTTCGCATTTCTTGAAAATCAGTTTTTGAATCGTTCTGAAAATTTGGATCTAAGCTTGATTTTTGATTCTCTACAACCTTTACATTGACACCAAAATGGGTTTCTTTTGAAGAAAGTGCTCAAACTGGGAGTCCTCCATTCTCCAGTCCTCGATTTTTGAGTCTCACACTTGTCTCACACACAAACCAAAATGCTACTACGAAAGAGGAGTCCGCAAATTGCCTGTAAAATGGGCAGAAGTCGTCAATAATAATGGAAATTATTTCGAATCAATTTATGGTTTTATGTTCAATAAATTTTAGTTCAAAGTCCGGCAGTTTTCAATTCACCAACCCAATATGTCAAGTCCCGTTTTCTGGCAAAACTCGCAAACGTAACCCATATCAAAACATATCCGAACCTGGGCTTACTTGGCTACAATACTCCTGTAGATCTTCTATAGTATATAAAAAGTATCCTATCAATCAGGTATTGTTTTCAATTCACTAACCCAATAGAATCAAACAAAAAGTAAATAGTTTAAATAAAAGCCAGATTACGGTAGTCAAGAAAGTTTACATGTTTTAAAAAAAGGATTAGAAGAAAGAAGAAAGAAGAAAGAAGACAAGATAGAAGAAACTCAAAAGATAGAAGAAAAGTACTATCTATAAACAGTAAGAATTCAAAATCGACTTTGGCGGGAAAGTGACTTAAAAGAGTTTGGTGAATGACTGAAAAACAGTGAGGGATTTCCCCTTGATTCTTTGATCCTTGTGAATGCAAAAACGGGGAATCGACCCGATCAAGCAGACGCTCTGTCAGTCTTTTCTTTACCCCTTCACTCCTCCTTTCCCATTTTCCCGCTTTCCTGCTCTGTGGGAAAGTTTGTGATGCTCTTTTGTGGACAATTCCCCACATTTAGGCCAATCTCCTTTTTCTCCTCTCAAATGTGAATCATCACACATTCAAATAAAGGTTAAAGATGCGGAAGAAAGCAAGTGATACTTGAAGCTCGCTGTTGATAGTCAAATTAGAGTGTTCTTCTCGAGTAATGTGTTTTCTAAAAGATATCTATCTGAGAAAGCTATCGTTCTGATTTCATCAAGAATGAAAAGCTGAAAAGAGGAGCTCAAGTACATGACCTGGGGCAAGTACATGAGG